GAAGCTAATTTTATTTTGGGAATTAAAATTACTAAGACTAATGATGCATTTTTCTTGATTAGTCACATTATGTTGATAAAATTTTAAAGAAATATATTTTTCTAGATTGTAAACATGTTGCTACTCCTTTTGATGCAAGCATACATTTATCTGTTGTAACAAATGAAAAAGAAGTAATTAATCAAAAGGAATATGCTAGCATGATTTGTAGTTTGAGATATGCTACTGACTGTACTAGACCTGACATTGCATATGTTGTTGAAGTATTTAGCAGATTTACTAGCAAGCCAAGTCGAGATCATTGGCTAGCCATGGGAAGAATTATGAGATATTTATCTAGTACCAAAAATTATGGTTTGTTTTATAATAAGTATCCAGCGGTACTTGAGAGATATAGTGATGCCGATTGGAACACTTTGTCAGATGAATATCTTTCTACCTCAGGTTTTATTTTTACCTTGGATGATGGTGGTATATGTTGGAAGTCTAAAGAACAGACTATAATTGCTAATTTTACAATGGAAGCTGAGCTTATAGCGTTAGATTTAGCATGTGAGGAAGCAAATTGGTTGAGAGATTTGTTATATGAAATCCCTTTTTGGGAAAAACCAATTCCTCTTGTGTTAATTCATTGTGATAGCACTACTACTATTGGTAGAGTGAATAATCATTTTTATAATGGTAAACTATTCGAAGGAAACACAGTAATGTGAGATCCTATTTAAGTAATGGTATCATAACTGTGAATTATGTAAACTCTTGTGATAATCTTACGGATCCGTTAACCAAGGCATGGCAAGAGATAGGGTCTGGAATACATCGAGGGGAATGGGTTTGAAGCCTATAAAATCATAAACCATGTATGAAAATACCCAACCTGGGGACCAGAGATCCTGTAACTAGGTTCAATGGGAAGAACGAATCATATCGTGGTTGTAAAAATGCACTCCTTAATATTTTGTTGTCCATCCCTATGATGTAAGTGCATTTGTCCTGTAATGTTGGAGGGTTGAGTTTTTATACTCTTAATGAAATTTTGTAGCTTTTGTTGAGTGGGGTGTGTAAATTATAGGAACATTCTTGACAGATTTCACCTATGTGAGCATGAAAGTGGGGTCGCTTTCTATGAGAATAAAGCTTATTCTCAAATATGCTTGTGACAACTGGGATGGGCACAAGGCTGTAACGTGCTGGCTATTAAAAGTTCATGTCAACACCTAGATTATTATGTGTGAGGAATAATACTTTATTTCCTCTAAGTAGTCATAGTTCAAGTCTGAGACCACTACTGACTCTGGAGTAGAGGTTATTGTTTCACTAATGAAAGTTCAATGCAGAGCACACCTTCATGATACGTACTAGTCTATCTTTGTTTGGTAATCTCTTTTGTCCTTGTTGATATGAAAATGAGTGGGGGATTGTTGGATCATTTTAATATCTTTTATTTATTTATTTGTTTATTTTTGTGACTTTTTTGGTTTTGTTCATGAATCTTATTTTATTTGGTGAATGGAGATTCATTATTTTTTTGGTAATCTTTTATTTTGTTCATGAATTGAGATTAATTGGAAAGGTCATGGGGTTGGTGATAAGTTAATGGTCATTTTATTTTATTTTTTTGGTGTAATTGTAAGGTCCTAATGGCCTATAAATAGTTTCTTTCATCTACTTTTTTTTACACCAACCACCAACTATTTTTTATACTAAGAAATTACTAACCAAAGAATGGTGCTTTTTTTTTTTGGCGGAATTTTGGGTTCACCATCTTGTGCAAAGTTGGCTTAAAACCATACGACAAGTGGTCGGGCTGTTGTATCCTGGAGAGGACAAGTCATAATTGTGACTGTTGCATCAATATTTGAGTTTTTCTTACCGCAGTGGGCTTGATCTTTTTAAAGAAAATGAGATATCCATACCTCAACCTGATCTATTTGTATTTCATTTTCTTTGCATTATTTATCAATAAAATATAATTCTTCTGGTATTTTCACCAACAATAATAATAAATAAATATATAAGTAGTATTAGTTCCTTGTACTTCAATTTATTTTTCTTTTTTTCCCCCAACAAATTCAACATTTTACCAAAAAGTAAAATTTAAAAATACAGGTTGATAGTAAAACCATGGCCCAACCTGGTTGCATAGTCAACCCGTCCACCTAACTGGCGACATGAAGTCAAATACAATTCACTTCACTTCACTTCCCTACCCTATCTAACAACGAAACGACGACGTACGTGCGTTAGTATCTGAGCTTTTACTACACAGTCGTCTCTTCATACACTGGGAAGCTAAAAACATGTGCTTAAGCTTAAGCGCTTAAGCAACACCTCACCTACACGAGAAAAAAGAAGAAGAATAAATAAAATAAAAAAAAGATGTACTTAAGAAGCACTTTTCCAGTATATATACAGAGAGAGGCTGAGAAGACGAAGCACAATTGAAGATTTGCCTTGTCCAAGAAGATGAGACAACAAGTCTTTTATGAGCTTCTTCTTGTTGGGTTTGTGCTTCTGAGTTGTATATTTATCTTCATTGCTCATGCCGAAACTCATTACTATGACTTCATGGTACGTACCCTCTATTGCGCTTACACTCTCTTTCAAATTTGCTCACTAAACTCCATCAACACTATTGTACATTCAGAATTTTTATTTATAAAAATTAAATTTTGGTTCAAATTCGTTCAGTTTACACAATACTAATTCACTTTTCACCACACAATCTCATTTTGGGTATAAATTTGAGAAAATTTTCTGAATTAATAGAATTATTGAAACTCCATTACGGAGGACTTCATCATGGTTTTAAGGTGGGGATTGTGTTTAGGAATGACTTTTTAAATTGTATGAAAAAAATGTAATTGACTAATATATATATATATATATATAAAACTTGTTTTTATCTTAAATTCTCATTTTGTAATTTTACATTGATACTACTTTTGGCTACATGCCAAAAGGCTGTGTTTGGCACAATTTTTTTTTTTGGTTATTATGCCCACAAAAAGATAAAATAGACTAAAAAATTAATAAGATAAAATGTCACATTCAAATCATAATCATTTTATTTTTTCTCTCATAAAAGTCAAAAATGTTAAAAAGTTCATCTCAAATGAGACTTTTTAGTTCTATGCTAAAATAGTCAAAAAGCCAAAAAACCAACCCACATCTAAACAAAGGCTTTGTGTTGGATTTTTGGCTTCTTTTTTTTTTTTCCTAAGCATAAAAATCAAATTTTCAAACAAGACCTAAATATAAATTGATATGTATCGAGTTTTTATCCGTTCAATATCCATACATTCATATATACTGGTGAAAACCAAAATCGCATGCATATCGGCTATTTTTAAGTTTATGATCTTTAATTCTTTTTTTTATTGTTTATAATTTTATTGATATTTTTTTTCAATTATCCAATATTACAGTTGAGGGAGAAGAATTTTACAAGACTGTGCAACACAAAAAGTATGTTGGTAGTGAACGAAAGTTTTCCAAGACCAGAGATTCATGTTCGAAAAGGAGATATAGTATTTGTGAACGTTCACAATCAAGGATATTATGGTGTTACAATTCACTGGTCTCTCTATTTCTGCCTTAGTAATGAGAAAATGCTTCTAGTCATGACGAACAAATTTTTTATTCAATTTTTTTATTACTGAAAACAAAATTACAGTTCCGATTCGTAACTCGAAATTAGCGTGGCTCGAATGGCCCGACATCAAAATGACGTAGTTTTGATTTTTTTTTTCTTTTTTTTTGCTTTTTTCTGCATATTTTTTTGATGAAGAAGAAGAAGAAAAGGAAGAAGAAGAAGAAAAAAAAAAAATGCAGAGAAAACAGAGTATCTTCAACAACATCTTCATCAACATCATCATCATCAACAAATTTTGTTTTTTTTTTTTGATGAACTAATCTTCAGATCTTTATCTTCAGATCCAGATCAACTAGAGAAAAAAAAATAAAAAAATAAAAAAAATAAAAAAAGAGAAAAAGTAGAGAAAACAGAGTCTGAAATCAACAACAACATCTTCATCAACACATCATCAACAACATCTTCATCAACATCAACATCATCATCATCAACAACATTCCCCCCCCCCTTCATCTTCAAATCCAGATCAACTAGAAAAAAAAAGAAAAGAAAAAAAAAGTAGAGTTTGAAAGAGGCGATACCCACCGGCGCCGCCACCGGTAGAGAGAGAGACGCCACCTTCTCTTCATCCTCTCTTCCTTCTCTTCCTCCTCTCTTCTCTCTTCTCTCTTCTCTTCGCTCTCTTGCCTCTTCTCTCCTCTGTATGTGAAAGCAATTGAAGCAAGAAAATTATTCACCCAAAAAAACTGAAGCAAGCAAAAGAAAAAGAAAGAAAAAAAAATAGTCAAAATGATGTCGTTTTGGCTATTCGAGCCACTATCGAGCCACATTTCTCGAGCTACAAAGTATTATTGACAAAATTATAAGTCTCATTTGTAATTATTAATGTGAATATTACTATTTTTATCTCTAGTGTTAAGGAAATTAGGTAAGGAATCCGACAACCTATAAATTTTTCAACAAAATTATGCAAATAATCTCTGAAATATACCACTAATTTCATTTTAATTCCTAATTTTTAATTTATTTCAATTAAATCTCTAAACTTCATAGACTAATCTAATATAGTTCATTTCATTAATTGTTATTTAGAAAACATGTGAAAAATACTTATATCAACCTCACATCGAGATATGAAGGTATAGAGAACATTTTAATACATTTATTTATGTTAAATAATAAATACTACCAATTATATAGTCAAAATGTTTTTTTTACTCTAAATCACGGTGCAAAAGGTTGATCTCGGACAATTGTTCAAATAATTATAGAGAATACTTGAGTGCCAAGATAAGTGAAGTTTTAAATTTGAATTTATAGAGAGACGTTAACTTGTATTATAATTTAACTGTTAATATATTAACCAACAAGGTAGGGAAAAAAAAATGATATATAAGGTTTTTATATGTCTTGTTTTGTAAATTGAAAATATATTGTATTTAGTTTTATGACCAATTTTTGTATTTTTATATGTTATGATGGAGTTAGATTGCCATGTGTAATATGTAATAACAATTAACAGCCATGGAGTAAAACAGCCCAGAAATCCATGGTCAGATGGACCAGAATACGTCACACAGTGCGCTATTCAACCAGGAACAAACTTCACATACAAAGTCATATTCTCTGACGAGGAAGGAACCCTTTGGTGGCATGCCCACAGCGACTGGACTCAGAGCAGTGTCCATGGTGCCATTATCATCATGCCTGCACAAGGCACCACTTACCCATTTCCCCAACCAGACGCAGAAAAAGTTATAGTACTCGGTACGCATTCATGTGCTCTTTCTCCATCAAACTCGTACTGGTTTTTTAAAATTTTCACACACCATACACATGTATGTGCATAAATTATTCACTTGTGTTAGATTTTTAGTTGGGATTTTTGTTGAAGTATACGTCTCTCAACTGTTTGATAAAATGCCTCAATGAACAACTGTTTCTTATTACACTGACCTCCCCTTTGGTTTATGACAATTATAGAAACCTCCCCTCTGGTTTCTGAAATTACATTTACCTCCCTTGAGTGGCTTTAGTGTTGACCTTATAGGTACGTTTACCATTTTGTCTCTCGTCTGTCTATAGATATTTCTAAATATCGTGAGATGATACTTTTTCTTTTTTAACAATAATCAAGGCTCCAAATCTCACATAGAACTAACGAATTAATTCTCTAATCACTCCTCACTTTTGTTTTTCTTATATTTTTTTCATTTAATTTTTTTTCCCAATGATCATTAACAATTTTTTTTTTTTGAAGTTTTGAATCCACTAATAGAAATGCAAGTATAACGTTTCTTTTAATGTTTAAAAAATTCTGTTACTACATTTGTATTAATTATTAATTTTCTTCATAATATGGCCATATCGCTCTATTTTAAGGTAGTTTTTGAGCATTTCAAAAGTTTTTTTTTACATATTTCAATAATTTTTTCACACATTTTAATGCGTATTTTGCACGTCCACCAAAACTAATGACAGCCCTTTTGGGTAGTCATTAGCATTTTTCTATTGAGTAAACCTCTCTTGAGTTTTGAAGAAAATATAATAAAACCCACAATTTTGACATAGTCCTCCCTTTTAATAAGCCTAGATGGAATGGAACTAATGCAAATGGTGTGAAGAGACAAAGATAAGCATAGTATATACATGTTAGTAAAGAAGTGAAGAAAACATAATTTTTTTCAGCCATATGATTAATGAATTATTGATGAAAAGGGGTTAATTGTTATGTGAATTACAACCTTATGGAAATTCAGTATAATTATGCCAAACTTATGAAACTTACTGTATTTTCTCCAAACTTCAAGAGAGGTAAAGAGTAAATTACTCTTTTCTATTTTATAAGGCTGAACAAAATGACTGCTAAACATATATGAATATTGATGCACAATCAAATGGAACCCTCGAACCAAGTGAGTTGAGCAATCCTTTGTGTTTTCCCATCAACTCCATTATTGTGATCGATTTCTTTCTTCGGTTCCCTTAACTTAGTCAATCTTCCTTGTGCAATTCCTTTACTTACTTTGCTTTTGTACTTGCAGGAACTTGGTATACTTTTGATGTGAACAAACAGCTCCATTATGATCTCTTTGTGGGTGCAGACTTACCGCGGCCAAGTTCTTTTGTTATCAATGGCCAACCAGAAGGAATCTTTAGTTGTTCTAGCGGTATTTTCTTTAGTGTTTCTGTGGGAGTTTCACTAGAATAAATACTGCATTGACAAAACTAGAAGAGTCTAATCACGATTAACCATTGATTCCGTTACAAAATAATGGTCTGTGCTGTGGAGTCTGATCTGAAAGATTGACCTATTGATAGTAAGCAATAGTAGTCTTGAAAGCAAGGTTTTAAAAAGCAGCTGCAACCATTACGTAACGTGGTTACTGCCACCTATTACGGCCGCTATAGCAGTGTGACGAAAATTCACATGCGTAACAGTCATTTCAGTGTTACGTAACGGCTGTAGCGGTACCGTAATGGCCCATTAGACACCGTTTCAAAATGTGGCATTACGTAACGGTTGAGGCGGTATGCACCATGCGTTACCTCCGTTTTTGCATTGTGATTGAGATTCACATGTGTGTCGGCCATAGCGGCTGCCGTAGCGGTCATAACGGTGCTATAACGGCCTGTTACACACCATTACGTAATGGTTCCGAACTGTTTCTTTCGAAGAAAAAAAAAAGGTTTCAAGCAAATAATCCAGGTACATTCTTGATTTAAAAGGTTGCATTTATTTTACGGATTTGGAAACCAACCACTCTATATCAAAGTCTCGCAGTACTTACATGAGTACAATTGGCCTTAAAGTCAGCCATTCCTTGTAAATTTGCTCTTGAAACCTTTAGAACAATAGAGTAATACTACATTGATACCTATTGCTTTAAAACTAAGTAACCACCAAAATAGGTTTTAACTACAAAAGTGTTACCGCCCACCCCTGAAGTTTTAAGTAACCCATAGTGCTTGAGCACAAGGTCACTTATTTAACTAATTATAAGTTATTCTCAAAATAATTTGGGTGCCTAAGTGCTCATATTTTCAAAGTAGCTCTGTTCCCATTTTATCTTTATTGCACAATGATCTGAATCTAAGATATTATTGACCTAATTGAGCAGTTTGTTGATGACCCTTAACTTTTCTCGTCCTGGTGGGCACAGGATCCTCTATCCCAAATCCATGTCCTTTTGTCTCAAAACAATCACAACAGTTGGATAATGATCTAATGACTTGAGTGTTTCGGGACAAGGGAACAAAGGAATTTTGGAGATAACAGATCCTTTACCCTGCCAGTGCACCTCATAACCTTTTAATATTTTCCTATGAACCCAATGAATCTCTCCTTATTCCTATGAGCACGGATTGGATACTATATGCAAAAATACTATTATATTCTATCTCCTTCTATACCCTTTGCAATATATGAATTTTGAAGTCTGGACGATGTGGAAAACTTTTGTCTTACGACTTAAAAATAAAAGATCCATCATAAAGAAAGAAACGAAAAGCAATTTGGTTGGCCACTTCTAGTTGTTCTTGAGCTTGTTTGGGCTGTGAACAACAACGATCAAGTATTGCCTGCCTAGTATCACATTCGAAATTTTAACTGAACTTTTGGTGTCTGTCGTATGCATCAAAAAAGTTTCAAATGTCAAGGACGAAATTGAACATGGATGATTTTGGCAGGTGTATGGATGTGGCATTGTCACGTGACTCGTCATCTTACCAGGGGTATGGTAACCGCTTTTATCGTGAGAGATGGTGGCACTCCTGAGACAAGTATGCTCGATCCCCCCCCTTCCATGCCTTCTTGTGCAAGTCCATTTCGTAATTATATCCATGAGTTCCAAAACTCGGAAAAAGAGCTCCCATTGCCAGATGAGTAATTGACTTGGGGTTGGTTCAGATTAGAAGAAAAAGACTTCAACTTGATTTTATTAGTTGCTGGATTTGATATAAACAAATCTTTGACGGATTTGTGAACTTGTATTGAATTTTAAAGCATTTGTACTTGGTGACATTGAAGTTGTTATGCACTAGAAAGTTGTTATACATCTGAATTTTAAAGCATTTGTACTTGGTGACATTGAAGTTGTTATGCACTAGAAAGTTGTTATACATCTGAATTTTAAAGCATTTGTACTTGGTGACATTGAAGTTGTTATGCACTAGAAAGTTGTTATACATCTGAATTTTAAAGCATTTGTACTTGGTGACATTGAAGTTGTTATGCACTAGAAAGTTGTTATACATCTATTTTTGTATTTCTTTGGAATCAATGAGGTGGTCATAAATTATTGTGTGTATGGTATGATATCATATCTTTTCTTCAAGTCATTGGACATTTCACTAATGCTAACCAAAGGTGGCTTAAAAGCTTGTGCTCCCAAATGAGGTAATATATGACCAGTAAAGAATGAGGTTGAATCTGACCTCATTGAAAGCAGCAATGATGTTACAATGATCATATTTTTATACTCCATGTCTCAAATTGTTAGTCATTTTTCACTATTTCAAACATCTTAAAAAATAATTTATATTTTTTAGTTTACTATTTTTTCAACAATTTTAAAGACTATTTACAAGAATTAATTGAGATCTTTTACAAAAATACATTATATATTGACCTAATTAAAGGTTATGAATACTGAAAATACACTAACAATTTGGAACTGAAGGAATACCATACTTGGTTTGTCTTGTAAGTTGATATCATTGCCGTAAAAACAATAGACATAGAGTAAGGTGTGATAGGTGACGATTCACATTGACGCAACGGAATAAATCACATAAGGTTAAATATCGTTCTAGTAGACGAACAAAATCATTGAATCTACAAGGAAGAAAAAAAAATTCAAGAACTGAATTATATTGCATCAAAGATGATTTGCCCTAAGGTGTACATGTGTATTTATAATAAACTGAACCCTAATTAAATAAGGAAATAAGGAATTAGGATAATTCCTTACTAGCCACGAAAATAAATAGAAAATTACAAAAAAATAGAAAATATGAGTTAAGCCCAAATTTGCATACTAGGAAACAATAGAAACGTGCCAATATAGACGGCGCTAAAAACAAACTTTCCAAAATAAAGTTATTCCCAAAATGAAACTTTTCTAATACGGCAAAATCACTAATTTAAAGGCCTAAACGAAGGAATTTGGCTAAAATTCACCGTTCGTCATCACCAAGAACGATAATGACTTTGATTTAATACGCCGTTTCCAATCAGACTATCAAATTTGAGACAATTCCGTGCTTGTCCCGAAAGTGCCGCTATTGCTCTGAATTTGATTTCTTTCTTGCCTTTTAGCGGGTCTAATTGTTCCAAAAAAATTTCGACTACTTGTTCTACATCACACATGATATATCAATTATGTTATATAAATATGATTATTGTAATAGTATTGTATGATGTACACAAACATAAGAGTAAGGTGTGATATCTTTTGATTAGTGGTTGTAAGTTACAACTTGTCTCACATATTCGACTGTATTTCCACTTGTATTGATAGCAATGCTGCATCACTGATTGGTGCTGGCCTCTGTGTATGAATAGTAGTTAGTTATAAAGGGGGTGAGAGTTGTTTTATCTGTTTTTTACTCATCATTAGGAAGAATCTAACAATCTCATTTTTTGGAGAATATAAATAATAAAATAATTTTTTTAATAACTTCAATTTTTTATCAGCTAATAATTAATAGTTTGTCATGAAAAATGTTAAACATAAATAAATAAATATATTGATACATAATAATATGCGGTAATGAAATTTTTGCAATTATAAATCATAATGAGTTTTATAACTTTCAGGTTATCCAAAAAAAATTAAATAAATAAATATAAATGACATTCGAATCATCACTTACTTGACAATTTAAATATTTGTATACATTTGAATTACATAAATAAATAAATAAATATACTGATACATAATAATATGCGGTAATGAAATTTTTGCAATTATAAATCATAATGAGTTTTATAACTTTCAGGTTATCCAAAAAAAATTAAATAAATAAATATAAATCACATTTGAATCATCACTTACTTGACAATTTAAATATTTGTATACATTTGAATTATAACATCATTTCTTGCATAAATTCAGGACTTTATAACATAGCCAGAAAATTACAATAAAAACATTTTGTTCTTTTCTTTATTTTAATAAAAAAACCCAACATTTCTTGACATGGCATGCCATAATTAAGGGTGTACATGTATAATTAGATATATGAAAATAAGGTGTGTACACCTCATTTGGTGTGCTATGATGAAGATTTAAGACATCAAACCTTTAATTGTTCATTTTTAAAAATTTAATAAGTTGAATCTAAATGAAGGGGAAAAAAATAAATAAATCAATTTATTTTTTTAAAAAAATAATAATAATAGGACAACTGCAAAGAATAATTTGAACAAGAAAAAAATAGGTGTCATAGCTTCAAATAGACATTGACACCCATTTCTATGTTTACATTATATAATAATAATAATAATAATAATAATGATAATAATAATAAGACTATATATACAAAACTAATTACAGAACGAATCATATAAAACAATCTTGACCATATATGTAAGATGGTGGAATCCATCATAAAATATACAATTTCACTCAGATTATTTCACCTATATTTTATGTGTTAATTCTGTGATCGGCTCTATATCCATAGGCTTATTGATATTATAATAATATTGCATAGATTATCAACATATGGAGCATGCATGAATGTGATATTGTTAATTAACTCGACAGTGAAATGGACCTGTACTTATGAACTTATGGCAAGGGTTTGACATTCGGACCATATTTGATTCACTCCATTGACCATATGGTACTACCAAATGTTGCATGCAATTTGAATATATTTATACATTTATATACATAGAAGAATTTTATAATGCATACCCCCTTATGATATACGCATTTAATTATGCCACACACCTTTTTAAGTGTTTCCCTAGATTAATAATAAAAAAAATGTTATAAATTCTAAATTTTCTATCAAATAAATGATTAAATGTCTGACATAGATGTAAAGTTTACAAAATTGCGAACCCACACTCATATGAGACATTTGGCCATTTATTTAATAAAAAATTTGACATTCCTACCATTATCTAATAATAAAGTTGTTGATTACATGCACGGGTCCCATTAATGTTTTCATACGATTGATTTCTATGATTTGCAAAAACTGTGCAATTCTTCAATTGTATGAATTACTTGACTTGCCAACTACCTCATTTATCAATAGGACTTGGGCTTGTTTTATAATGGGTTAAATAATTGAAAAGATTTTTTAAAATTAGTATAAATTATAAACATACCTTTTAAAGTTTGATTAAAATACAAATTACTCTTTGTAGTTTTAAAAATTACATTTCACTCCTAAGATTTCTAATTTCATAATAAATCGCTCATTTTATTAATAAATTATCAAGTCAATTAACAGTTTCTAATGATGTTAGAAATATGTTTCGATTAATAATTTAGGTAATTTTATTATTGTATAGGAGAACAATTATGAATTTCGTTTTTTTAGTTAATTCTGTTAATAAAAAAATACTAACAAAGAGGTATTTGTAATTTTACAAACCACAAGGGCGCAATCTGTATTTTAAGCAAACTTCAAGGGATGTATTTGTAATTTATCCAAAAAATTATAAAA